GATTTCTTGTTCAAATTATCATTATCTTGCATTTATCTATAAAAACTTATTTGCTACACAATGGTCCATTGTCAAATTGGTCCAGTTTCCTGAATGCCATTGTGGCTGGCACGATGAATGAGAAATCAACTCCAGTCGGGAATGCAGAAAAACAATAATATTCCTTGTGTCAGCTTGGCACAGTTGTTAGCACTTTTGCCTCTGAAACAGAAGATTGTGGGACCATGTTAAGATTTTGAACTCATATACCCTAGACTGAAACTCCAATACAGTAATGTGCTGCATTGTAGGAGGTGCCATCCTTCAGAGGAGATGTTAAACCGAGGTCCCGTCTGTCTGTTCAGGTGGGCATTAAAGAACCCATTTCAAAGAGATGGAGGGGGAGGGGGTGTGGGGTGGGGGTTCTACCAGTGTCCTGACCAAAAATGACTCCAAGAAGAATTGGTAATTTCACTTCATGGCTTTTCTGTGGTTATTGCAAATTGGCTGCCGAACTCACCTGCAAAGCATAGTCACAACACTTTACAGTAAATCCTGTGATGCACTTGTGATGTCCTCCAAATGTGAAAGGTGCTATATCAAATGTAACAAATATTATCATTTATTTTGTATAGCACCATTCACATGAGGAGGACATCTCAAAGCACTGCACAGAATATATTGTAAAGATAGTGACTGTATTTTGTAGGCAAATGTGGCAAGCAATTTGCACCTATGTCCCATAAACAGCTATGAAGTGGATGGCAATTTTTTTATTCAAGGGAATGACTCCAGGAGAAAAATCTTCTTGTCACAATTTCCCCCCTTGTCCCAACACACACATGCGCCACATTCACTATTGCTACACAATCCTGGGAGGCATCATAATAATAATCCTTGCATTTGATAGAGCGCCTTATGTCCCTAGAATGTCTCAAAGTGCTTTACGGGAGTTACTGTTAAGTGTCTGTGTGTATTTTATGAATGTGTCTATCTCTATCCTGCAACCCCTTTTACAAGCGTTCATCCTGTTCTACATTAACAAACTGTCTATGTGATTTAAGTCTCCAGAGTACTGCTGATGATAGACCAGCCAGCTTAGCACATTGGCTAGACAGTGTTTTCCATGGCAAGCTATGTGGCTTTAGCTGGTACCACAGTACTCCGTTGCACATTCTGGTTCTCCCAAGGCTTCGCTCTTGCCAAGTTATGTCCAATACCATCCAGAATTAACTAAGCAATGTGCATCCCTCCAGGGAGGGATGCACATCGGCTCTGGAACTCCATCCCCCAGTGCCTTCGCCTTGCTTCCTCCCTTTCCTCCTTCAAGGCCGGTCTCAAAACCTTTCTCTTTAACCGAGCCTTCAGCTCTCCTCTCGACTCTCTTCCCCCTCCTCGCTCCCTCCCTTCCCTCCCCTCACCCTGACCATTTCCCCCCTGCTCGGGTCATGACCCAACTGTGCAGCGCCTTGGGACGTCCTCCTGACGTGAAAGGCGCTTTATAAATGGAATCTTGTTGTTGTTGTTGTTGAGAGAGTGCACAATCTATTCCAGAGATAGAAAGATTTCCATGTGTAAGTGGTATACATATGTGGAATTCTCAGTCTGGCTTGGATACTCTTAAGTATAGTGGTGGGTTTCTGTATGTGTCAGACATCCAACTGACATAAAAGAGGTCATTCCCAGTTTACATAGATTTAATTAGACTGTAAAGTATAGAAACAGGCCATTCAGCCTACAGCTCTCAGAGTCTGTTCCAGTACTTTTAGAAGTCATCTCTGATGATGGAAAATGAACTGAAGCCATCTGATAAATGGATGTTGGTGAGGCATTGAAAGGACATGATGTTCATGCTTACAACCGACTGTCACTTAAAGGGGAATACTCTCTGAGTGATACAACCCTTCTTTAACTAGGCACCTTCTCATGGTAAGGGAGTCACATACACACACACACACGTTAGGAATTCACCTTCTCACCAAAAGGTGAAGTTTTACTTATTTTTAATTTAAAATTTTCCCAGCTCAGGTTCCAGAGAGTAATATACTCTGAGCCCTTTGCCCAACTCTGACATTGGTAAGCAAGAGCAGCAATGACTGGCTTGTTCTTCATTTATCCCTTCCTCCACTGAGAGAGGGTAAAGAGAGAGGAAAAAGAAAAAGAGAGAGATACCAACTGAACACCTCCTCCATCCATCTACACATGTGCACATACAGTGTTTATCTCTAAAGGCATGGCTGGGATGCAATAAGTCACTGCAGTGCAGATTCATTAATTTGACTTTTACATTCAGAACACAACTTGTGTAGGCCACTCTATCTTCAATACATTTATAAAACAGGTTTCTGGATCCACTTTTTATATAACAATTGGATATGTACATCAATCTACCAGTTAACACATCATCTTAGTCCATCAGAACTAATATATTTTGCATGGGCCTTCTGTGACACAGAATCACATTTTAAATATCTTTCAGATCCTGTCACTCTTAATAGCATAAGACACAAAATAAACCACATTTTATCTCTGCACCAGTGTCCATAAAAGGCTTCCCCGTTCAGTCTTTGCTTCACTGTGAATCACATTACTGCAAGGAACACGGAATCCAATAATAGTCTAAATCACTCTGAAAGTTGCATTCCAGTATATACATTAATCAGAGTACATGAGGTAACAAACAAATATTTTACTGCCTGGAACTAAATGGATTGAGAAAGTAAATCATAATGAAGCTTTAAGGTAACACATTAAGAAGGCTATTCAAAGATCATCTCTCTTTCCCTCTTCCCCATTCCCTGTCAAAGGATTGGCCAAAGGATCCTGTTGAAATCATACTGTTATATAAACTTCTATAAAGGCTCTATGTAAATTGAATTGTATTTCTCCACCCCCTGCTGCCCCCGTTTAGAAGGTTTGGTTAGATTCATTGTTACGTGGACAATAAACTGCTGATTACAGGAAATGTATTTGTATACAAGTTGCATGTGATTTTTTACAATAGACCGGCCAGGATTGAAATTGTCAAGCTGAAAAGTTATAAACAAGCTCCAAAGTGATAACAATTAGCTTCTTTATAAACGTGCTGGAGCAAACCGTTTCCTTGGATTTATGAAGCAACTGGTTATCACAGATGTAGCTGCTAAGTATTTTCTCTGAATATTTCGTCTGACATTAATCAAAATAAATAAGCTCCCTCCGTTGGCTCATAGGACAAAGAACATTTGTGTAATAGATGAATGGGAAGTCTTGTTGGCACTCAAAACGATGAGATAACATGTGCATACCATTTCCAGAAAGATGTTTGGCAACTTTGAAAGACAGTTCAGTAAAAGTTTGTGGTACTGCACCCAAGTGTAGCACAATATCGAAAACACAGACACAACTTGTGAAGATTTTTATAGATCTAAACAGGATAGAACAAGATCTCCTGCAAAGCTTTACTTTGGAAGGACAAGGAGACAGTGATTATCTGCTAGAATGGAGACCACCTCCTGCTGGATAATTGAAATTCCTGTAGAATCTAGGTTTCACTTGCTACATTTACACAATACTTAACTGTACGCAGTCCTGTGTAACCTCTTGGGGAAGCTGCATTTTGGTTTTAAACTATGGATTTAGTTTTGAAAAATATGTTTTTCAAAAATATATTTTACTTAGGGCTAGGCAACCTCTCCAGGGTCATGGGCCATTCTTCTTGAATTTACTTGTAAAGCATTTTGACTCTTTGATCTCAATAGTGGTGTTGAAAATACCTAGCAGTAAGTAGCCTTTTGATGTCAATGATTTCAGCAGTAACACTGAGAGTACCACAAGATTTGACATGGAGAGTATATCCTTTGACATGGAGGGTATATCCTTTCTCAGTTTCTAAATCAGCTCCCTGAATGCCAACTTTCCAATCCATTTTTGAGTCAATTTCCAAGATACTAGCAATAAATACAACACTTAGTCCAGTACAGAGCCAATGGAATAACATGAGTGGTTTAAGATCATTCTGTGCATTCGTTCCAACAATTATTTCAGGAATTTTCACATGTATGTGGGATGCATGAAACTCAGCTTGGTTTGCATACCCTTAAAAATGCCAATGGGCCAGACAACCAGTTGACCAAGCAGAAAAGTGATAAATAACTGAAACACCAGCATTTTATTACCAAAGTATCCTTTTCTAACTTAAATAAGCAATCAGTTTTCAAAACACACATGGCATTGTTTCTAGAAGTACATGGAGTTGCCTTCCATCAAGGGCCACAACTATTTCAATACTCTGTGCCACTGCCAGGTAATAACTGCATCATTTCATGCATATTACAAGCACAGAGCTGTACCAGGGATGGCCTTACCAAACCATTTCTTAAAGCCATTGCCCATTCTCTGACAGAGTTGACAGACTCAAAGGAAATGTCCATGTTCTCACAGCTACTCAGGTTCCAAAATGTGATAACTGGCACTAACCCTTTATCTCAGCACAGCGCAGATCAGCAAAACAATGCTACACTTCTCCCTGGGATACTCAAGGGTTGGGAAAATTGAAAGAAATGGCCAGGGTTCTTCTTGCCAGTCACTATCCAGTAAGCTGTGTTGAACAATGTGTATGGATTGGTGCTGGGTAGACCAGGAATTGAGATCACCTGTAATTATCTCCATGGTTCAACAGCCTACCATAATGTACTGCAGTATTGAGATTCATATATGAAGACTGTCCACAAACGAGATACTGGAGTCATACTGCAGCATAAGTCAATGGCTTTAGGAGAGGAAAAAAATGGGGATTTTTGTCTTATAGCTTTTAATTTTGTATTAGAAATGGTCTGGTACTTATAATAAATAATATAATAATAATCCTTGCATTTGATATTCGAGATGTCTCAAAACGCGTCACAGAATTAACTGCATATTTTATGGCGAACTGTGTCAAATTCAGATAACCTGCAATTCAACAGTGCTTACATTGGAAGTTCTCGTGTAGATCGATGGTCCTCTCTCTCAAAATTAATGTTTATCCACTTTATATCTAGATACACACAGTGAATTTCCAACACTCCTGCATTTTGCTGCCAAAAATGGACTCCAGAATCTTACAGCTGTGCTCATGGAAATCCCTGGTGCAATCCAGGCCTGCCGAGTCCTCAATAAATATGGAGAGAGCCCAAGCAGTCTTGCTGAGAGCCATGGGTTTAAGAAACTTCAAGAGCTCATAGATAAATTGGCGGTAAGTATTATTGTTCCAATTGTCCTTTTTGCCTTAAATTGAGTGACTTTTCATGATCAGCTGGAAGAATGTGGATCAAGGATATGGCATCCCAAATTCTCCTGCTCCTGTTCAGAGTACAGAAAAAGCTGGAGAAAGTGTTCAGGTTAATAACCAAGTCCAGTGCCTTCTTGTGCCTCAATGTAACGTGCATCAAACTTGGCCCAGCAGACAATGGCTTACTCTTCAATTAAATTCCTGCATAAATGAGAATTTCAGGTCACAAAAACTGTGTGAAACAGATTTCTGCAGTGCAGGCGGTGCTGTGTAAACTTTGTTGTTTTTATTACACACAAAAGATTTTTGATTAATAATGATATTTTGATGTAATTACAGAAGGTTTATCTTCTTGGGATAAATATGTAGGTTTGACTCAGTCATGCCAAGAGGTGGTCACAATCTTGAAGGAGGGACATTGCTGGGCATGGCTTGTGTTAGAGGATAGACTGATGTAGACTCTTATTCAGTCCAACCTCCTTAATAATAATAATAATGCTTGCATTTGATATAGCACCTTATCACGTCACCTTGAGTCAAAGTGCTTCACAGAATATACTGTAAAGTGAATTGACTATATGTTTGGACTATACTGTGTGATTACATTATTTGACTAGTGGGTTTGTTCCAGTGTTAAGACAAAAAAAAGCAAATATTTCTGCAAGTTCATACATTAAACATTGCCTGGAACAATAAACTTTATTTAACTTTTACTTTCATCTTGAGAAGAAGTTGTCCATTTGTTATCACATTCCAAATTCACAATGGCCTTGCAGTAATGACTGCACTTTAGTGTCTATAAATATGCACATGTATTGAAATACTGGATTCTATATTGCACCCTGCAGTCAAAATTAGCGAAAACAATTAAAACACATGAAAAATGGTGGGATGCTTTTATTCCTGAATAGATTAACTTTTCACATTGAGTTCTGCTATGGTTTCTACAGATGTGTTTTATTGTAGGAATGCCTTTATAAAAGGGCATAACGTCAATTGTATTCATAATCCATTATGATCCTGCATCACATGTGTAACATTTGTGTAAATACTGATGGATGGAAATTCTGTATATTAATCCCTCTCTTGCTAAATGGAACAATGAATCATCAGAACAGATGCACCACCGGTAGCATTACTCTGCGCTCATTAAGCAAAGTGCTAATGAAGCATCTTTTATTCATCCAAGATTTCTGCAATTTTAGAGATCTCTACACTTCTCTGCAAACATCTGCTTGAGTAACTATTTAAATGTGCAATATATTTTTTATCAGCGCAACTGTAACAGCTGTCTACATGAGCAGCTCATGTGCCCCAGAAATGCAGTAAATTCCAGAATTACAGGATGACTCACAGGTAATCAGTTTGTTAACATTGCATCAGTAGTTTAAGCTTTACACAGACGACAGCCATGGTCTTTATGCAAACCACAAAATGTACATTTAGCTGGTCCCAAAGTAAAAGTATAAAATTTTAAAATATCAAAATAAAGCCAAACAGCTATCTTAATTTTCTCTTGAATTTCTCTGGATAGTCTAATCCCCCCACTATGTAAGATAGTTTCACTTACCTTCTTTTGAAGTCGAGTCCATGTCTCCCCGTTCTTGTTATCTTTGGACTACGTTAAACATATTTGTTTAGCTATGCCTTTTTTTAGTCATTTGAATACTTCAGTAAACTCTCCCCAGAACTTTCTGTTCTTCATTGAGCTCGAGCAGTTTCCACAACCTCTCCTCATATTGAGTGAGTAATCCCATTTATAAATTGGTCGTTTTTTGCCATAGATTTCCAGTTCCAGAATATCCTTACTGTAATACTGACCAGAATTAAACACCCAACACCCAAATATGACCCCCGGTGGATCTTACCAGGATTTTCTGCGATTTATCTCTCTCTCTCTATTCCCATGCTTCTTTACTGCCAAGCAGAAAGCATCAATATATTTAAGAAGAAACAATGCATACAAGGAAGGACAAGAAAATAGAAACAATGAGTATAGGAGAGGGAATTAGAAAGGGTGAAGGTTCATGTGACTTTAAACACTGGCACGGATTAGCTGGATCAAATGGCCCATTTCCATGCTGTAGCGTTCTATGTAATTCTACGTATGCAAACCTTAGCTGCCTTTCTGCTTCATAACTGCTTTCACTAGGGCCACAACACAACCGTTTTCATACCTTGAACAAATTTCCAGCTCTTGAATATTGTGGATATTAAGGACTATTGAGCCAAGCCCTTAATTTAGAAAAAAAAGCCTGCAAAGAGGAACAAGGTGTGAGGATGCAGCCTTAAATGTCCAGATTAATAGCACCGCACAAATAATGGTTTATATAACAATCACTGAAATGTCAATCAGCAATTTCAAGTACATTCTATAAACAGCTGTAAACAAAAGTCAATGTTTTTAAATAAAAAGTACAGTCAGGCATTTTTTCAATTATTCAAAGCAGTCAGTATATTGCTCATTCAATGAAATTAATAACTTACTTAATATCCAATTAGCATTTTGAAGATTTTAACTACTACTAGTTTTGTCTCTTGCCTCTCCTGAAGGTTTGGATTCATACTGGAGTTCATGATACTTCAGCAAGTAGCTATTAACTGTGTGGAAGTTTGTTCCGTTTTCATTGGAGTAAAGAAGGTTCAGAGGCCACCAGATAGAGATGTACAAAATGAGGGGTTTTGACCAGGCATTGCAATCCTAGGATTTCATGATCCCATTACCATACGGGATCCCAGGATTCAAAACTCCAGAACTAGGGGTTGTAATCCCAGGATCCCATATGGTAATGATCTCCTAAAATCCCGGCATTGCAACTCCTAGTTCTGTCAGGATGAATAGTGAAAATTTGTTTCTACTGGAAGGGACGTCAGTGGCTAGGGGACATAGTTCTAAGATACTCGCAAGAAAAGGGAGAGCTCAAGAGTTTTTTTTCACTCAAAGAGTTATTGGGATGTGAAATGTCCTGCCAAGTAAGGTGGTAGAGGCCGAGTCCACTGCAGGTTTCACGAGGGAAATAATAATAATCCTTGCAATTGATATAGCGCCTTATTATGTCTTTGATAAGTCTAAGGCACTTCACAGAATAAACTGTAAAGTGAATTGACTATATATTTAGACAGGTATATGAAAGATAGAGGCTTGAAGGGGTATGGGATAAAGCAAGGCAGTGGGATTTTAGTTATTGATTCCATTTAAATCATTTAATGAGAAAAGGCCGTTTGGCCATTCAAGCCCACAGACCACGCAAAATCTTTTACTCCATCATGGACACCATCCCACTCAATCCACATTCTGGGCAAAACAGTTATGGTATAGATATGTCTTTAATCAAAATACATTCAAACAGAAACTCCAGAATATTCATCCATCCCCACACCTCCATTGTTTAACCCTGGCCTTCTTCCATCAACCAACAAGATTCCCTCGAGATACCATACTCTTTCAAAACGCCAGCACAGACACAACAGGCTGAAAGACCTGATCTGTAGTGTAAATTTCAATGGTTTGTCCCCCATCACCACCAGCAGAGATCATTATATCTTGGAAAGCACTGCTAATCTGAGTCAACACCTTTGTTCTACAATTCTGTTTGCAAGAAGGCACGTATTTAGTTGTTTTTCTGAAAATGTAATGCAAAACAGTAGAAATTAGAATTATAGAGGACCTTTCAAATCATTAGGGTGTCTCAAAAAGCACCTCACATTAATGGCTGGGCACCCAAACTGGGATTCGGAGTTGAAACGGTAGGAGGGGTAATTTGACCAAAATTACAAACAAAAAACTACGTCTTGACGTGAGGTTTCAATGTGGGGAGGGAATGAGTTAGGTGGACTTGAGGAAGGAATTCCAGAGTGGAGACAGAAAACCTATAAGATACAAGTGAGAAAAGTTCCCACCACCAGAGTAGGATATTGAAGATAAAAGCCCAGAGTAAGAGGGCTTTCACCTTCAAAGCCCTCTATGGTCTTGCTCCCGCTCTACGACCTGCTAAACCCCTATCATCCTGCTCGCTCCCTCTGCTCAGCGGGCTCCGACTTGCTTTACGTCCTCCGCCTCGCCTGCCCCACCATTGGCGGATGGGCCTTCAGCCACTCTGCCCCCAATCTCTGGAACTCCATCCCGCAGTCCCTCCGCCTCGCTCCCTCCCTTGCATCCTTCAAGATCCATCTCAAGACCTTCCTTTTCGACTGTGCTTTCGATCACCCTGCTTCACCCCTGCCCTCCACCCTCCCACACCCCGACCCTTAGCTCGGGTCCGAAACTCTGACTGTCCAGCACCTTGGGATGTCCTCCTGACGTGAAAGGCGCTATACAAATGTAATTTTGTTGTTTTTGTTGTAGGATATGATCAATAAACCCTACAGGGAAAAAAGGTCTCAACTTTTATGCTGTACGTAATATTATTATTGTTATTACATAACCAAGGGTTCAGTATATTCCATATAGCTAGTGCATTGCTGCATTCAATGAATGTTGTAAATTTGTCCATGTACTCTGTACTCATAATTAATAAGGCAATTTCATAGTTAAATATTTAATTTTTAATGTAATACTATTAATGAATTAAATTTGGTCTGCGGTTATTTATGTTTGTGGGACATTGCTGTGTATAACTGGCTGCCGTGTTTCGCCCTCAAAATAGTCAATCGACTTTACAGTAAATCCTGTGGAGTACTTTGAGACGTCTTAATGAGGTGATAAGGTGCTAGTTCAAATGCAAGGATTACTATTATTATGATGGCTGGAAACTCGCCTGCCGTTAGAAGGGGAACATGAAGCAAACTGCTGTTAATTGAGAGCAAACACTGTTTATTTACGAGTTTATTCTATGTCCTCACTTACTCTGATCGCTTTTTATCTTATGGGCTTTTTCTCAAGAATCACCTCCTCACAATAACATCTAGGTCTCACCTTTTAAAGGTTTTAAAAGTCCGAAGTTTTCAAACTTTATTTTACTAAT